CGTCCATGGATAACTGAGATCCTGGTCCGGAATGGTGAAAATGTGTGATTTTGATGCATTTTCGGCGTTAAAATGGCCGCTATTCGGCTATCGTTAATCGGATCACGAAAAAAATGCATGTGCATATGTCCCATATAATGTGTGATGTATGAGTGAAGTTTGAACTTAATCGGTCCATGCATGTTCGAGATACAGGTGATCACGGACGGACGGACGCACACAGGGCAAAACATAAGTCCCCGTTTTCGGACTATGTCCGAACGGGGACTAAAAATTACGCATTTGGAATTTTTTGCAATAAAAAATAAAATATACACACATACACACTTGCTCAATCTATCATTCTTTCAGGCGATAAAAATATGGTACGATATATCTCTTTTTGGAGGATGTGGTGGCCCTGAAAAGGGTCGTTTTGTTTGATTTACCGTTAGACGGTACAAGTGAGAGATGGTTACTGTTGCAGCTCCGACTGCGTAAATCCCTCAAACCAGTCGTCCTCGTCATCATCATCCAACAGTAAATCAGAAATGATGTCTGCTATTTCTGCATTGCTCCTGATGAGATGATCTTCGGCACCGTTCATGGCATTGGTTATACCACAAACTTTAAACGATCGTGAAATCATGGATGGGCGATTACGTATTTTTTCCCATGCGTTGACAATCCAGTTGACAATAGTTTGCTTGTCTGCTGTCTTCAGTCGGATATCGTCAGTATCAGCCTGTGTTGCTTTGATAGCAGCGTCACAGCGTTTCTTGGACAGCTACAATAAAACCGAGTGGAGATTGTAGCTTCAATTCCCTTTTCCCCTTAAAAATAATCATTGGGGGCAGAATATCTCCATTTGACATCACTGTCAAAACAACTGTCAGGTGTCTTTTTTCTGCATCCGTAGTGCAGACTTTCAGTGTCTTGACGCCTCTCACTTCCACAGTTTTGTTTGGAACTAAATCGAAAAAGACTGGTGTCTCGTCCATGTTTCCGATATAATCAAAATCGTCATCACTTCTTTTGTCGTGGACAAATGTCAAAAAATTATCAAGCTTCACTTCCAAGTCTGCAGGTAGCCTCTGTGCCACAGAAGTTTTTAACCGCAAGACAAGGTTGTTCCGCTTCATGAACTTTTCGCACCAGCCACGCAATGCTTTGAAGTATGGAAACTCAGGTTTGATGACTGACAGTGCGTGACAGCGTATTGCGTCCATGGTAACAGGGATATGCAGGTCGCGTTGCTGTAGAACCCAAATAAGGACGCGTTCGTCCAAATTGCGTGCCGTACGAGACAACATGACCTCCACCATGTCTTCTTCCACCCTCTGTAAAATGTTCCTTATCGAAATCATATTTACCTCACCCTTTCAATGTCGATGGAGCTATTTTATATTTCCGTGCGGTGGCGTTAAACCCCATCATCTTGGCCTCCTCATAAATTTTGCGGCGTTGTTTGATGTTAAAGGATTTGTAGATGCCTCTGGCGGCCCTCGTGGTGTTGGTTGGTGTTGACATTGTTGAAGGAATCGTTGGTGTTGGTTTGGCATCAGCAAGCGGAGCTGCGTCTGGAATGGTTTGTTCGGTCGTTGGTAGATTAACATTACCAGTAAATTCTAATCGCGGTCTTTTTGGTGGCCTACCAACCGGACGGTTGCACGATACATTGAAGGCGGGATAGCTGGAACTTCAGTCGTGGCTTTGACAAAATACGAATCGATTCGAGACATTGTCGCAGACGAGAAATCGAGTGTGCTTTAAGATCTAATGAAAGACTTTGAGCAAGTGATCTCCTTTGGCAAAAAGTCCCATATTTATACTGTATTTTCGTGAGTCTGAGTGGACAACATTTTCACACTATTTTCAGTCACAATGACTGTACTATTAGCGGCCATCCTCTGATAATTTCGACATGGAGAACGTGGTGATTGGTGTGAACGGGTGACAATGGAAAAACATGTGTTGTCGATATTACTTCCGTACCTGTAGTACTTTATATTGAAAATAAAATAAAAAATAGACATGCGACTCGAGAAATGTCCCCAACGGCAATTTTCAAAATCAAAATGTTGTGCCCGAGACGTATACGTTGCCGGTAAACATGTAAGTTGTCAAAAATGTAAACCCAGTGTCAGACACGGTGAATTGTTTCTTTTCATAGCAATTTTGGCGTGTGTGTGAAACAAAGAAATTGAAAGAAAAGTCTCGAGACAGACAAGAAAGCTAA